CCCCCCCCCCCTCCCCGGGGGCCGAAGTCTCTGGCTGCAGCCTGGCGGCCGGCAGGCCAGGTAGGATTTCCGGGGGAAACCACTGTGGAGGCTGAGGAGGCGGCGGCGACGCCCCGGGTGAGTTCGGCAAGCAAGGGAAAGTGAGCGGAAAGTGCACGGAGTCGGGCTGCGGGCGCCTGGTCGGCTCGGGCCACGCTTTCAGCTCCGAGAGAGGGTGGCGGTGCGGGCCGGGGTAACGGCCGGGCCGGGGTAACGGCCGGGCCGTGGTCGCTTCGAGCCAGGGCGGGGCGGGCGGTGGCCGCCGCCTCCTCCTCGGCCCTCCCACAACCGTCCGCCTTGGCTTCTCCGCCTGCGGCGCGCCTCGCTCAGGCTCGCCCTCTCCGCCCACCGCGACTTGGCTGGGCCCTTTTGTCTCGGCTGCTTTGCGCCCCTTTGTGCCCGGGCGTGGAGTCGCCTCCTCGGGGGAGCCCGCCGGGCCAGTCCCTGACAGGGGCCGGTCCCTGACAGGGGATCCGGTTACGATAACCAGATCGAGTCAAAGTCCACTTTTCAAACCTGTCTTCCCTCATACCTCTGCATCCCAGCTGGGCAGATCGGAGGCTTCGGAGCCAAGGCGAGGCGGACGGGGTTTCTATTGAAACCTCGAGGTTATTGTCCAACTCTTAAACGTCAGTCCCGGTTGGCTTCAGGGCACTAATCTCCAGGCATTTTTCTGGAGGGGGGATGGGCCTATGGGAAAGAAGTGAGCCCCCCTTCCCAGGAAACCGGGAAGGGATCGGATTTGCTTCGAAGTCCGTATGGGTCGCGGCTGTGATCGAGGAATCAGAACCGGTGCGGATGGTCAGAATGGTAGTTCACACACCGCTAGAATCTCGGAGGAGAGAAAGTGATTATAGGGCAACGAGCAGCCTCTTCATCCATTGCACGCAGAAAAAGACCACAGTACATCCAGCCGCCCAGTTCAACGCCCTGTATTCCCCTCAAATCCATTTTCACTTCTGCTGAAAACGCAGAGTTGAAAGCAAATGTCCATTAATAGAAGGCTCTGCTTTGTAAAGAAACCAGAAACCTAGTGGCTTCTAGAAAGCTACAGAAGTAATCGGAATCAAGCCAGTTTGAGGGAGGAGAGGTAGTAGATCCTTACTGCAACTGGTGAATTTTGTGGGTTTGATCACATTTTGTTAGTGGTATCTTTGTGTATGTCCCGTTGGAAGACTAGGTTCAGCTTAAGGTAAAGCTTTTAAAATAAAAGCCATTGCAGATACTCCTCTTGAAAAATACGTTAGTCTTTCAAGTCTCTGAGATGAGGACAACCAGGACCCCTTTACATGAATCAGGGAAGGTTATTGAAGTTATATAGGTAAAATTGCCACCCTAGTCACGTAGGCAAATAAACCCCTTTGTACTTTATTACTTTGATATCTCTTAATGCAAGTGATTTACTCTGAGAATCTCTGATTGTGTTAGTAATATTGTGTAGGGATGACAGTGCTTTTTTTTTTTTTTTTTTTTTTTGTGGTCTCCCTGCCTGGCTTGAGGGATCTTAGTTCCCCGATCAGGAATTGAACCCGTGCCCCCTGCAGTGGAAGTATGGAGTCCTAACCACTGGCCCACCAGGGAATTCCCACAGTGCTATTTTTGAAAACTGTTCATATATGTTATATAATTGAATTTTCACTGTGCAGTTCTGTGAGGTGGTGGTTCTCTCATTTTACAGATGTAAAATGTTAAATTGACAGCCTCTGAAATGTTAACTGACTTGCCGGGGGTCACACGGTTAACCTGGATAGGAAATAGTAGAGTAAACCGTATTCCAAATCCAGGGCTCTATCCATTACCTCATGCCTATTGCAGTTATTTATCATAACACTATCAACAGCTTGTGATTCACTGAAATTTAAATATTGGAGAAAAATATGGAAATATTTTCAGTCAGAGCACCTGATTTATAAGGAACTGGACTTTCTAGGACCACAAACAATTGCCATACTGAACATTGGTTCCATCACCTTGTCTTATGGTACGCTGTGATTACCTTGTGCCTAGGCAGAATGGCAATTTTATGGAGCCCTGGAGGTGGGGAAGGGTGGTGAGTTATTGGGCTGTGGTTTTGACTAATGGTTATTGAAAGTTTTATTTACTAAAAGGGTTTAACTAATCTTTGCTTAAAGGTATATTAAGAAATATATTGGAGAACGTATATACGGCAGCGTCAGCCGCTGAAAATAACAGAAGGAGCTGATATTCAGACATTTTTCTAGCCAGAGAGTCAAAACTCAAGAAAATGCTTTCTTAGTTTTTGCTTTTAATAAAAACTTTTGATCAATTTCAAACTTGCAGTTTAAGCCTGGGTTTATGTCAATACATGCCATGAATGTGACATCAGAAATAAAAACCTACTTCACCTCCCTTACTTAAATTCTTCTTAGGTAAAACGCATTACATGCCAGTGGAATTGAGTCAATACAATTAGTATAGCTTTTCTAACTAGTAGAAGCCTGTTTTAAATCTTTTATTATGGGCTTCCCTGGTGGCGCAGTGGTTGGGAGTCCGCCTGCCGATGCAGGGGACGCGGGTTCGTGCCCCGGTCCGGGAGGATCCCACGTGCCGCGGAGCGTTTGGGCCCGTGAGCCACGACCGCTGAGCCTGCGCGTCCGGAGCCTGTGCTCCCCAGCGGGAAGGGTCATGGCAGTGGGAGGCCCGCGTACCGCAAAAAAAAAAAATCTTTTATTATGCCATCATAATGGGAAGGAGCTTTTTTCCTTTGTGTTTTTTGCTGTTGGTCTGCTGTATTTTCAAATCAATTCAGTCAACAAATATTTATTGAAAGGCTATTGTGTGTGTGTTTTTTTTTAAGAAGGCAAGTTATTTTATTTATTTATTTGTTTATGGCTGCGTTGGGGCTTTTTCTAGTTGTGTTGAGCGGGGGCTACTCTTCGTTGCCATGCACAGGCTACTCATTGCAGTGGCTTCTCTTGTTGCAGAGCACAGGCTCTAGGCACGCAGGCTTCAGTAGCTGTAGCTCGCGGGCCCTAGACCGCAGGCTCAGTAGTTGTGGCACACGGGCTTAGTAGCTCTGCGGCATGTGGGATCTTCCCAGACCAGGGCTCGGACCCGTGTCCCCTGCATTGGCAGGTGGATTCTTAACCACTGAGCCACCAGGCAAACCCCACCTGTTGTGTTTTAAGCACCTTTGTAGTCCCTGAGGACAAAGCAGTGAGAACAAGTCTTTTTTTCTGGGGCTTACAAACTGATTAGGTTTGAAAGGGAGGAGTAAGACTGTAAATAAGTACTAAATAAATCCCCTCTTATTTACTGTGCAATTTTGATCAGTAAGCTCTTTGAACTTTAGTTTTCTCATCTTTAACATGGGTGTAATGATTCCTGCTCTACCTAGCTTGTGGAATTGTTTCCAGAATTGAGTAGGATAAAAATTTGGTTGCATTGTACCCTTCACATTCCTGTGGTAAGTTATTGTTACTGCTATTAGAAAAGGAAAAGGAACATTGGGGAAAGGTTGTTTATAAAGAAAGACAAGGCTTCCCTGGTGGCGCAGTGGTTAAGCATCCGCCTGCCAATGCAGGGGACATGGGTTTGAGCCCTGGCCCTGGAAGATCCCACATGCTGCGGAGCAACTAGGCCCGTGCGCCACAACTACTGAGCCTGTGCTCTAGAGCCCGCAAGCCACAACTACTGAGCCTGCGTGCCACAATTACTGAAGCCTGCAGGCCTAGAGCCCGTGCTCTGCAACAAGAGAAGCCACAACAATGAAGGGTCTACGCACTGCAGAGAAGAGTGGCCCCTGCTCGCCGCTACTAGAGAAAGCCCGCGCACAGCAACGAAGACCTAACACAGCCAAAAAAGAAACCAAATAATTAATTTTAAAAAAAGGACAAAGAGAATAGTTGCATTCTCTGTTCTGAGAGAGTCTGATGTCCCATTGTTAAACCTTCTGTGAGTGTTAGTCACATCTTCATATGGGCTATCATAGCCCTTCATGTAGACCTTTTTAAATAGCACTTATCAAATAAGACCATTATTATTCTATATTGTCACAGTTAACTGCCTTAATGTCAGGGACCATGCCCTAGTCTACATCCTTACTGCTTGGCACACAGTTCCAGGTATTTCATTGGAACTTTATAAATGTTTGGTGAATGAGTGAATGAGTAACAGAAGTGGGCAGGAGCAGTTGAGTGCCAAAATTGTTCAGCACATTTTTTTGTTTTGCCCATCATGTGCTAGGACCTGGGTTATGTTCTGGCGGTACAAAGATGTGAAGGTATATAGCTCCCGCCATAAAGCTTACAACATTACAACACCTAGGAGTCTGGTGAGTATTAAATAGGGGTGTGTTATACTATAGGTAAGGGACTGAATGATTCTGTTTTGGTAGACAGTGAAGGAAGGCATTACAGAGGAAGTGATTTTGGAGCTTGTTCTTGAGGGATTAATACGAACAGTTACTATTAAGGTTATTCCAGCCAGAGGGGGCAGTTTGAGCATAGGAATGGAGATGCTGAAGTATAAGGTGTGTGTCTGGTGTGGCTAGAGGATATTGCAGTGGGTTTTTACATTTTTTGGTTCAGGTACCCGCTCTAGAAAATTTGAGAATAGCAATAGATTTTCACCCCAGAAAACTGCATATAAGGAGACATATGCTGGGACTTCCCTGGTGGTCCAGTGGTTAAGACTCCGCACTCCCAATGCATGGGGCCCGGGTTTGATCCCTGGTCAGGGAACTAGATCCTACATGCCACAACTATAAGCCTGCATGCTGCAACTAAAGATCCCACATGCCGCAACTAAAAGATCTCACATCCACAACTAAGACCGGTGTAGCCAAATAAATAAATACATAATTAAATATTTTTTAAGAAAGGAAACATATACATATCATTCTAGAAAGTTATGGAATACTTAGGGATCTCTGGACCAGTGGGGCTGAAAAGTTGAAAAGTGCAATGGCCGGTGAAAGGAAAGATCGATGGCTGGGTGCTGAGAAGGATTCAAAATGCTTGTTAAAGACTTCAAGCTATGGGAATTCCCTGGTGGTCCAGTGGTAAGCAGTCGGCACTTTCACTGCTGTGGCCTGGGTTCAGTCCCTTGTCGGGGAACTAAGATCCCGCAAGCTGTGTGGTGGCACGGCCAAAAGAAGACTTCAGGCTTTATGATTAAGGAATTGCTAAACCATCAAAAGTTTTTAAGCAGGAAATTGACATAAGCTGATCTGTTTTGAGGTAATTGCTTGCTATCTTAGAGGGTTTAAGAGCATATTTAGAGTAAGTGCTAAATAGGAGGCAGGATTGAGGGCCTTTTTTAAATTTTGTTTTGATTTTAAAGAATGGGAGAGATTTGACATGTTTGAAGGTAAAGGAAAAGGAGCCAGCAGAGAGCCAGATATTGAAGATCTGCGCAAAAGAAAAGGAAGATAATAGAGAAACATTGGGAGGAAATAAAATCAAAGCTCATAGAGAGGTGAGCCTTGAAAATGAAACATGAAGAAAGGATGGGAGAAGATATATTTGAAGTGAAGGAGGTGGACATTGAAATTGGAGTAAGTTACCAACAGCCTATTTTGTACCCAGACACTGATCTAGGTACTTTTCTATGTGCTATTTCATTTAATTTTACAAAAATTCTGTAGATTGGGTGGGCATTCCCATTTGACAGCTGAAGGAGGTATGGCTTAGAGAGATTAAATTTCCCAAAGGCACCTTTAAGTAATTGAAGAGATCTGGAACCCAGATATATTTTGACTTCAAAGTTTAGAATAATTATTTCTGCCTTGTAGGGTCTGTTAATGCCTGATGACTTCTTTGTTTAAAATCTTTCTTTCTGGGCTTCCCTAGTGGAGCAGTGGTTGAGAGTCCACCTGCTGATGCAGGGGACACGGGTTCGTGCCCTGGTCCGGGAAGATCCCACATGCCGCGGAGTGGCTGGGCCCGTGAGCCATGGCCGCTGAGCCTGCGCATCCGGAGCCTGTGCTCCGCAACAGGAGAGGCCACAATAGTGGGAGGCCCGCATACCGAAAAAAAAAAAAAAAAAAATCTTTCTTTCTGAATGAATGAGTTAAGTTATCTGCAGAATGATCAAAGAATAGAGTGGGTTAGAGGACTTCAGAGAGTGTTAAAAGTTTGGAATAGCAGTCATGGAAAATGTAAGGGAGCCCACCAGAGATGAGCAAAAGGGCGGCTGAACCTCAGTTAGGGCCCCACCAAGGTCAGACAAATTAGCCAGCTGGCCATCCATTCTGTCTCCTCCATTCTCAGACATTTCTTGAATACAGTACTGTTGATGTGGGCCTTAGAAAAAGACAAACTATGTTGTAATGGGAGGCTTGGAGCAAGTCACAAGTCTTATGCTTCAGTTTTCTCATCTCTAAAAGGGTCTGGTTTGGTTGATTTCTCAAATTCTAGGATTTTTATGGTATTCCGAGGAGTTTAGGAGAGGAAGTGTGTTTAGTGACTGATTTTTAGGGAAGAGATGATTGAAACCATACAGCTTTCAGATTCAAGCTTGGTTTTCAGTTGAACTTCTCTACTGTGTTTAAAGCACCAGGTGTTTGTTTTGACAATCTGAAAGTTCTGACATAGTTACTCAATACAATGTATTTACTACCTTTGGAGTCTGAAAACCTGCGTTCTGGTTCCAGCTCCATCACTTCTTAGCTATGACTATCCAAGTCAGCTGACCTCCTTGAACTTTAAGTTTCGTCATTTATAAAACAGAGTTAGTAACTATTTCTTCAAAAATGTCAGATGGGATAATGTATATGAGAAGTCTTTGTAAACTGTATAGTGTTTAGTAAATATGAGAAAAGATATGATTATAACTGGCAAAGAAAAAGGGATTAGTACTGTGATCAGTGCTGTACAAGGGAGTGAGAACTGGTTTAAAGTGCATCCTTCACTTCCAGGGTACTGAGTGGTAAGGGAAACCTCTCAGGGTGTGTACTATCAGTGCACTGAATTTAGAAATTGTTTGTAGTATATGATGTTGCTGGATGTTTTTTCAGGTACACATTAAAATCAAATCTTGAATCAAATCTGTGACTTAGGGCTTCCCTGGTGGCGCGGTGGTTGAGAGTCCACCTGCCGATGCAGGGGACATGGGTTCGTGCCCTGGTCCGGGAAGATCCCACGTGCCGCGGAGCGGCTGGGCCTGTGAGCCATGGCCGCTGAGCCTGCGCGTCCAGAGCCTGTGCTCCGCAACGGGAGAGGCCACAACAGTGAGAAGCTCGCATACCGCAAAAAAAAAAAGAAAAAAAAAACCCTCCATTGTTAAAGATTCTCTGTATTTATTCTCTCAAATGTGAACTTGTTAGCCAAATTTCCAGGAGTATTTTTAAAATAGTTGTTGACTGTATTTTATTTAAGGGTAGGTAACAATTTTATGATTATCTCACAGAACTTAAGTACATTGCTTCATTTGTTTGTTTCCTTTGTGGATGGCTAATTCTGATGGAACTCAACAAAATCTCTTATAGAGAGCTGTCTTAGCCCACCTTGACCCTGCAGATATCTAGCAGATAACCAATGTACTTGATTCTATCTACCCAGCTACCTGTTCTCTTCTTTGCACTTAGGTTGGAAATACAGTGTCAAAAACTGGCTTAAAAGGTTAATGATTCATCCTTACCTTGAGTGATCCCAGAGCACTTTGTCCATGTCTTTGCAGGGCACTTTTCCCTCTGTAGCTTATTTACCTCTTTATTCTCCCCACTAAACAGTGCCTGTTTATGAAAATAAACTGAACTAAGGGAAATTCCCTGGCGGTCCAGTGGTCAGGACTTGGTGCTTTCACTGCAGTAGGCCCAGGTTCAATCCCTGGTCCAGGAACTAAGATCTGGCAAGCCACACAGCGCAGCCAAATAAAAAAAAAAAAATTAAAGAACAACTGAACTAAGGATTCCTATATTGTTGGCTTCAATTTATTTAACCATTGTGAATAATATTTCCACATAGGTCTCTGTACATGTAACTTTTCTTTTTAATGAAATTACTGCCATATTCAATATCCTGTGATAAGCCATAATGGAAAAGGATATGAAAAAGAATGTATATATATGTATAACTGAGTCACTTTTCTGTACAGCAGTAATTAACACAATGCTGTAATTCAGTTACACGTCAATAAAAAATAAATTTAAAAAAATGAAATTACTGGATCAGCGGGTATGAACATTTACATAGTGCTTGATTTTTAAAATATTTTATTTATTTTTTTCATTTCATTTCATTTATTTATTTATTTATTTTGGCCACACTGCACCGCTTGCGGCACAGCTTGTGGGAGTTCCCCGACCAGGGGTTGAACCTGGGCCACAGAAGTGAAAGCCCGGAATCCTAACCACAGGCCAGCAGGGAACTCCTTTATTTTACTTCTTTAAAAAATCTTTTTTTTATTAAAATAGAGTTGATTTAAAATATCTCATGTCAGATGTACAGCATATATATCCTTTTTCAGATTCTTTTACCTTATAAGTTATTACATAATATTGAGTATAGTTCCCTGTGCTATACAGTAGGTCCTTGTTGACTGTTTTTTTTTAAAATTAATTTATTTATTTATTTTGGGCTGCGTTGGGTGTTCATTGCTGTACACAGGCTTTCTCTAGTTTGCGGCGAGCGGGGGCTACTCTTTGTTGCGGTGCACAGGCTTCTCATTGTGGTGGCTTCTCTTGTTGCGATGCACAGGCTCTAGGCACACGGGCTTCAGTAGATGTGGCACTTGGGCTCAGTAGTTGTGACTCACGGGCTCTAGAGCCCAGGCTCAGTAGTTGTGGCACATGGGCTTAGTTGCTCCTTGGCATGTGGAATCTTCCCGGACCACGGCTCAAACCCATGTCCCCTGCATTGGCAAGTGGATTCTCAACCACTGTGCCACCAGGGAAGTCCATGAGATATTCATTTTTATTTTTGTTTTGTTTTGTACAGAAATCTAAATATTTCATGCCATAGCTCTTCACTGGTTCCTTTGTAATTTCTTCCATCATTAGAAAATTGTTTCTCCATAGGTGGAGCAAATATTAATTTCTCAACTTCTGTTTCTCCCATTCTTTTTTCTTTTTTTTTTGAAAAATTAATTTTGAGGTGTGGGAAAAAACGTTTGTTTTTTTTAATTTTTTAATTTAATTTTATTTATTTTTTTATACAGCAGGTTCTTATTAGTCATCCATTTTATACACATCAGTGTATACATGTCAGTCCCAATCTCCCAATTCATCATACCACCACCACCACCACCCCGCCGCTTTCCCCCCTTGGTGTCCATACGTTTGTTCTCTGCATCTGTGTCTCAATTTCTGCCCTGCAAATCGGTTCATCTCTA